AAAGTTGTTTTCGCTTGTGAAAAGTTCCGCTCAAGTCTTGGCTATCGAACAGCGAAAATCACAGGTCTCTATCTGTCTCATGTGAGAAGTTATTCAGAAAGCAACCAGAGTCGCCGTATTTTGGCGACGATAGTAGAATATTATTCGTCTGCAAAGAAACTTCGTGTGTTCGAGTTTCGTCCAAGGATTGATTTTGTGTTTGATAGTTTAATTTTCAGAATGGTATATGGGAATTTCAAAGGAATTCTCAATTTTGTTTTGATTCAAGATTAAAAAGCATTTCATTCATCATATCAACGTATAGAGCAGACCTATTTTTTTTTTGTATGTATTCTGTACTTAGCTACATATAGTGGTAGTAGTAAGTTTCTTCCTCTTCTTTACTCTATACAATTTTTGAGCACGTGCTTGAAATTTGGGGTGAAAATAAGTAACACTAAGGTCGGGGATGGCCACCCCGCAAGGCTACACAACAACTTCAGTGGTCCAGAATGCTAACAGCTTACTATATGGTACCTTTGACATGGGAACGGGTCAATTTTTTCCTCATTCTACTCCCTTGCAAGAAAATTTTCGTGTACAACATCAAGTACCTGTACAATATCCCATTCATTCTAATCAAACACTGTCTCCATATATTTCTAACGGAAGTACTTCAGGTGTTTTTATTTCTGGTACAAACCAACAATTACAGCGACAGCAACAATGTGGTGCGACGACGAATAAACAAAGTGCATCAGCAGTTTTGTTCCAGCTTGATCCATCTCGTGCTGCTCCCTCATCATCATCATCTAAATATTATCAGCGTGCTTTTCCAACTTCTCTCTTGTCACGACAATATCAAACAATTGACGAAGAAATTAATATGGTTGTTGAGCACCAATCAAACAATGTAAGTGCCAGTAATGATGAGGTACGTCAAATTAATGATTCACCTCCTTCAAATATACATCGTCCTACCGCTAATCGTCAATTACCTAGTCCACGCTTCCAACGTCGAAACTCTTTATCAAGGGATCAACATCCCTATCCGCGAAACACAGATAACAATGGTCAAAACATCGATCTGATCTCTCCGCAAGCCCTTCGCTTCGCTGAAACTCGCTATAAATTTCCTCCATTTGTTGTTACATTCCAGGATAAGGTCCAGGAAAATGAAGTGATCAATGAATTAAAAAAACATATTGTGGACAATTTGAGATTAGATTTCACATTGGACGGATACAGGTTAAAAGATAATCGTCAATTATTTCTATTTGTCAAGGATCGAGATTCATTCATCATTCTGTTTGATGAAAAAAATTAGCCGCCTAATTTATGCTCGAAGAGTTATGAGAAATCGCTGTCCCGTCGGCTTCCACCTCAGTTTTCGTTAGTTATCCGTAACGTAACGTTGGATACTCAGGATAATGGATTGTTAAATGATCTGCAAAAAGATTTTCCTGACATTATCAATCTCCATCGTTTTATTAATAAAAATAATCTGCCGACAACAATGGCACGATTAGATGTTAAAAGTGTTAAAACTATGGATGACCTACTCAGACGAATACACGTTACTATTAATAGCATAAGATACCCGGTGAGCGAATATTCTGGCCAGCAAAAGTTCTGGTTTGTTCAAAATGTTTTGAACTCGGACATTTTCGGAGTAATTGTAAATATGAAAAAGATAAATGCAGGACATGCGGAGTGGAGGTGGATGATATTAAAAAACATAGAGAAGAAAATTGTGATAAACAGCCACATTGCATTAGATGTAAAAATAATCGCGATTCAACCGATTTGAGATGCCCAAGTATTAAAACCTTTCGTACCGAATTAACAAAGTCTTTGTTATCTTCATCTACACATAACAACAATAAACAACAACAACGACAGCAAGGATTTGTACGACAGAATGGTATTAAGGAGTTCCCACCATTGAATGTAAACACAACTCAGAATACATGGGGGCGGAGGGCGAATGATGAAGTATATAATCGTCTGAATCAACTCGATCGGGATGCCAGGGATATTTCTGATCAATTAGAGTATTTATTAGATATAAATAAAAAGTAGCTTGCACAACAAAAACAAACAACTGAATTAATTACGTCACATGCAGTACTCATTCATCAAAATAGTCAAAAATTAAGGTCTCAACAAGTTGAGGTTACTTTTTTGGGTGAGACTATCGAAAACTTTCTTATGCCAATTGATCAAACGGTATTACAAGTGCTACCAAAATTAATTCAACAAGATTCAATTCCAACAGCTTCAATTGAATCTCTAGCTCAACGATTCGATTATCATATAAAGGCCTTCTCCGAGTGGGAATTACAGTATAAGGATAAAGAAATGGAAAAAGAGAAAATTGAAAAATTGTCACAATTAGCATCTTATGTCAATCAAGGTACGAAACTATGACTCTATCCGCTCTAGCCCCTTCTTTTATTTTTTCCCCTGTATCTTCTAGAAAAAAAGGTTTTGATTTTGATCTTGCGCTTCAGTTATGTGAACTTCTACTCTCGCATTTTAATTTTTCACTTTTGTCTGATATCGTAATGAAGTGGAACTCTTTCCCCACTCTAAACTCGTGCCTTTCGTCTTGGAAACGTTTTGAGCGAGACGATTTATCTTCGTCTGCGTCTTTCACTCATTTCAATGTTCTACTATTTAGCGTGGGTTTAGCCGAGAAATGGGAGGAAGTTTTACTTTTCTTCGAAAAGTCGAACTCCGACTGTCTAGTTTTATTAGAGATAGGGGCGGTAAATTTTTCCTTTCTCTCACAAACTTTCAGCGGGTTTAGATTCTTCTACCAGGCCGGTGAAAATAGTAGGGGAGGTGTCGCGTTAGTTTTTCGCTCAGGTATTTTCTGTACTCGAGTATAGCTAATGTGTGTGTGGTAGATATCACTTTAGAGCAAATTTTACGTATCGATGGGTGTATGCTCCCAGAAGTAGATCATGGACGTGGGACGTCCTCTCCCCATTGGTCTCTAGCTCGTGTGGGTTTTTTCGTGACTTTAATGTTGACCTAGACGATCCGGTTGATAATGCTAGGTCCACAACCCTCCTTGAGTTCTTTCTTTGTCACTTGATTCTTTCTTTTTGTCACCTATTCTTCCTAATAAGCCAGCCTCTAAATGTTCCAACCGTCTCATTGATTATGCGTTCGCTACTGGAGTTCCCCTTTTAATTCGAAATTGGGATACCAACACTACAAGCGACCATGAACCCGTTCTTGGCATTATCGCGTGCGAGCGAAAAGAAACTGCGTTTAGTTATAATACGCATTGGGTTGTTTTTAATTATTTTATGTCGTTTATTTCTGATTTCTGGTCATCACAATGGGAGCATTCATCTTGGGAAGTTGTTTATCCTACCTTTATTTCTTTTCTTTTTCTCCTAAAATCTCGTTGTACGGTTTATTTTCCTCTAAAACAATATCGAGTCGCAATCTCTAAGGAGCTTCGGATCAAACTCGCATATGTTCGAGCTTTGTCATTGAGAGCCAGAAGAACAGGTGACGCTCTTCTAAAAGTAAAAATCAAAGAATTAAGAAAAAGAAACAAAGCTGAGCTTCGTGATTATCTGTTTGCTCGTTCGGGGCAATCTATGAGTGAGCGATATACCTCCTCAAGATCCTCTGTTGGGTTTTGATCAAAAGTGAGGAAGAAGTTTAGAGCTAATTGCACTTTAAAAGCCTTTATGTCTGAAAACGGTGAGGTTATCAATAATACAGAGGACATGCGGTGTATGACGGCTGACTGTTACGAAAAATTGTTCGACGAGACAATCGTGTACCGTCCTGGGATGATCTGGGAGAACCAGGATGAACTCATCCCACTAATAACCTTGCCAGAACTTATAAAAGCAGTGTCCAAAGTTGAGAAAAAAATCTCTTTCGATTCACATGGCATCTCCGCTTTTATGTTTCGATTTGTCCCCTCTCCCTTCTGGAGTAGGTATTTTAAAAATTTTTAATTTATCCTTAACATCATTCGTTGGTCCATTCTATTGGAAAACAGTGAAAATGAAATTACTTGCAAAAAAAAGGGATCAGTTTGTCTAATTGCCGATACCCGTCCTATTTCTCTCCTTGATGTGTTTCTCAAATTGCTAGAGCGTCTCTTTCTGGTTCGATTTCAAAAGATCTTAGAAAAAAGCGGTATTTTGCACCATTCTCAGTCAGGTTTTCGATCTAAATTCCGTCTCCAATCTCGTGTTCTTCTCTTGATAGACCAAATCTCATCCTTAATGAGCAACAACTCGCCTGTCGCTACCGTTTTTGTGGATTGACAGGCGTTTTCTGTGTTTCTGTGGACAAACAGGCGTTCGACCAATTTTGGTGGTTGGGCTGTTTGGCAAAGTTGTCCCACATTGGGATACCTAAAGCGTACGTAGAATGGATTGGTGCCTGGCTTAAAGATAGGCACGGCTTTATTGAAATGAACGGGAAATGTTCTCGCTTGTTCGCTATTAAGAGGCGGCCCTCAAGATTCACCTCTTACCCCCACAGTCTTTATCATCTATCACTCGGATATGTCGGACCTTTTTAGAAACATCCCTAGCAAATTTCTTTGCTGACTATCTAGCCAGTGTTCTTGCGGGAATGATTGGTGTGAAGTTTACTCAACAGTGTTGGGATTTAGAGAAGCATCTAAAGAAGTTCCTTGATTATCTTGAATATTATTCAGTGTTAACGATTCAGCCGATTAACTACTCCAAAACTGTTGCATTATGGTCCTCACGTGCGCCGAGAGAACCAGATTTTAATACTTTTTGTGCTATCCATCAGATAGAATGGGTAACTAGTTTTAAGTATTTAGGCTACTGGTTAACTTTTAGACTAGGATGGGGGAAGGGGATATCGATATCCAAGACAAAAATTAGGCAAAGGATCGCTATGATAAAATGTTGCAGAGTGGACGGATGCACTAGTCTACAATTTAAACGAATGTTGTTTTTGACGTATGTGTTCCCCTAGTTACTTGGATTTTCCCCATCCTCCCCTTGTTTACAGAATGTCAGCAGTCAGATTTTTCCCGCTTTTATTGTACCTGTTTACGTCGAGTGTATGCCGCGATTTTGTGGAATGATTTCACCTTCGCATTTATGTACAAAGAATTAGCGCTTGAGGATCATTGGGTCTTCTATTGGAAAAAATATTGGCCTGCGTTAGAACTTACAACTGATAGTGCCCTCCAATACGAACCTTATGCGTTAAATGTGTATAGGGAACAGTGGTTGCTAAAAGCATTTGTTATTAAAAAGCTCTCTCGTTCAAAACCTTTCGCTCCGCATCTCTCTGTTATTCAGAAATGTGCTATGTGCAGTCTAAAAAATAACTGTGATAACTCTATCCTCCAGCTACCTGAAACAGAGTTTGGCAATTTTTGTCTTTCCTGATTCGTTTTTGTGAACTGTTCTCTCTCTCTGCCCCGGTCATATCCTTTTTAAAGCTTTGTAAAACTTTTTAATTGTCCAACTTCTTAACTTTTTACTTCTAACTTCTATTTCTTTTTTTTTTCATGATTGTCTTTATAGGCCCAATAGGGTAAAAATAAAAGAATAACACACACAAAACAAAATAGCAGTATAAATAGAAGTGGGCAACGATTTCTTCAATAATTTAATAAATAAAAATGTAACTGTGTAGAATTTCATTCTTTTTAACTTTTGATACAACGACTCTTTGTCAACTGTCTGAGCGCTTTTCGTTAGTAGACTTCGGTTCATCCGGTTGTTGATTCAAGGGTGATGGTGAAGCATCAATCATAGCTTTGACTTCTAAATTAGAAGTATCAAAAACATAAGTTGAAAGAAGAAATTTTATCACTTATGCATTCTTACGTTCGTCTACTTCACCTGCGTTAAATGGTATATTTGGATCTCCTATGAAGAAAAACGATAAACTGTATTCCTATGTCTAATGAAACAATTTCATTAGTTAGTAGATAGAATTCATACACTTACGGTATTGTGGCGTTTGATGGTTGTTATCCATGACTACAATATTATTCGTCTGCAAAGAAACTTCGTGTGTCCGAGTTTCGTCCAAGGATTGATTTTGTGTTTTACTAGTTTAATTTTCAGAATGGTATATGGGAATTTCAAAGGAATTCTCAATTTTGTTTTGATTCAAGATTAAAAAGCGGAAACCAGAATATCTCCGTTATACTAAAACATAAACAAAAAATAATTTCTGAAAGCTTTTGTTCTTCATAACTGATAGATCAGACTAGAGTAAATGAAGATTATTTTTTCTGATATCAAAAAACAGTTGAATGGTTAAGGATGGGCGGTAACCGCTGATTTACCGTCGGTAACGGTAAAAGCCTTTTTACCACGGTAATGGTGTAAGATGAATTTACCAAAAAAGGAGATTACCACGGTACACTCTAAAAAAAACGTGTTCTTCGTGTTTTCATAGAACAAGTTGAAGATCTTATTTAAGTTCTTTGAAATATGAAGAACTTGATTTTTATTTTTCAAAAAAACTGAGTTTTTCATTCATTTCAGTTTTTCGGTTCATTTTAGTTCTTCAGAAATTTTGTTTTTCAAGATTTTATTTAAACTTTTAATTCTCATCTCTCCAGTCGAATGGCCACTAAAATCGGGTTACATCTGGATTCCATTGCATCTGTGCCCAAAAGGTACCGAGACGATGAGCATGAGATGCTTGTCCAAGTCTATCACGCGACTGCCGTTGTCGGAATTCGAACTCCGCATCTTTGAAGTATGTTGTCTGCCCACTAGCCGACTGAGCCACGCTGCTTTTTTCAAGATTTGAAAAATACAATATTTCTATTAAGTTCTTTAAAGATTTTGAAGTTCAAAAAAAGGAAAAGAAAATCACTTATGTCGATCACTGATTTTATTTTGCAATTCCTGATGTATATAAGAAACCTCAGGAAGTGCAAAATAAAGAGATATTTGTAAGAATAAGTTTAAATTTCTGTAGGAAAAAAGCATGTCTCTTATACGCATGCTTTTTTCTTACAGAAACTTAAACTTATTCTTACAAATATTTTTTTATATAACAACAACGTCCATACTTCGAGAACATATTTGTTCTAGACAACAGTGTTGTCAAACCAAGTCTATCACGCGACTGCCGTTGTCGGAATTCGAACTCCGCATCTTTGAAGTATGTTGTCTGCCCACTAGCCGACTGAGCCACGCTGCTTTTTTCAAGATTTGAAAAATACAATATTTCTATTANACTGATTTTATTTTGCAATTCCTGATGTATATAAGAAACCTCAGGAAGTGCAAAATAAAGAGATATTTGTAAGAATAAGTTTAAATTTCTGTAGGAAAAAAGCATGTCTCTTATACGCATGCTTTTTTCTTACAGAAACTTAAACTTATTCTTACAAATATTTTTTTATATAACAACAACGTCCATACTTCGAGAACATATTTGTTCTAGACAACAGTGTTGTCAAATTCGACTCGAATCCTACAAGTCGAGTACATACGGTGTCTGAAACGTGATTGAATTCGGATGGAATCAGATTCCAAACGTCGGGTGAGGTAGGATGTGGGTTACATAGTTTTCTCTACTCATGCAGGTCTCCAGTTGACAATATTTATATAGTATAAAAGATACTTCCGCAGCTGATCACAGGTATATTCTTGCGATTCTAATTCGGCAGTTTCTTTTCGCAGACGTAAAAATAAAGAGCATATGAATTGAACTGATTGGACAATATTGCCCAAAGATTCAGAAAATTATCGCTTATTGATAAGAGAATCGTTGCAAATTATAGCACATAAAGCTGATTTGAATAGGCATGCAACGGCTACGGTTATTAATCATTAACTGTAACCGTAAATAACCGCTTTATAAAAACTTAGTGTACACTTGGTTTTGAGTTCGTTGATAACGGTTTTCATTAGAAGTAGACAGGGATGGTCTTGGTCCTGACGTTATCTGCTAATAAATTTATGAAAATTCTAGCGAATAGGTAATCGACTATGAGGAATCCGAAAATGAGTATGAGAGACCTCTAGGGCGCATTCTATTGGCTAGAAACGTCCTGTCGGATTCCGCGATCTCACAAACACACTATTCGAGGAGAGACAAGCACTACTTGTTCGCTTATCGTAAAGATTTCGGTAAAACACTTGTTTCGTACAACGAGGGGAGCGGGCGGTGGATAGTGAGAGTGATTCATGGTAGCCCAGAACCCTAGGCCCGTAACGGAATCTCGTAAGAAACACGCTCTTATGTCGACGTGCGATTACTGCACTCCTAACTTTCATTGCTATTTTCGCATCCCGCATAGTCGAGTGTCTGTTCTGTTTCATTTCTATCCGATCGAGCCAAAAGTACGCTTCTGACCAATAGAATGCGTGCTACAGGTCTCTTATACTCATTTCCGGATTCCTCACAGTCGATAACTTATTCTCTTTCATTTTCATCCAGTGAAGTCGAAAGTACGTTTCTGATCAACAGAATGCGTCCTAGAGGCCTCTCATACTCATTTTCGGATTCCTCATAGTCGATTACCTATTCCCTAGAATTTTCTTAAATTTATTAGTAGATGCACTATAACGTCAGGACAAAGACCATCCTTGACTACTTCTAGTGTGAACCCTTATCAACGAACTAAAAATCAAGTATACACTAAGTTTTTGTAAAGCGGTTATTTACGGTTACGGTTTGCCTAGATCTGAATGAAACAACAAGATCAGTGCCGCTTAGCATCTTTCCAGAAGGTTCTACATCATTAAACAAGAAAGAAAAACAAGAAAAGCAAGAATGAAAGAAGAAACTTAGTCATGGGACACCAGAGATGGGCGAGTACGAGTATATACTTGTACTCGAGTACAAAATCTTCAGTACTCGTACTCGTACTCGGGACTTTTCTTTACGAGTACTTAAAAATATACTCGACTATTTTCGAGTATTTGAAATTTTTCCACTAGTATGCGATACGAAGAATTTTTGACCTTGCGAATTTTGTATCTTCTTTAGACATTAAAAATTTAAGACAACTGGCTTAACATATAATAACCTATAATTAAAATAAGAACAAATCAGGCTATTTTCTTCTTCTTTTATTATTATTATTATAATTATTTCCTTATCTTGAAAATCCATTTAAAAGAATATTAAATATAAATTCAACTGTATCAGAAGAGCTAGAAGATTTTTGTAAAGAACAGAGAATGGACTATGATCTTATTTTAACGAAACATGAATCATATCCTCATCTATCAAAATTAGCTCGAAAATATTTTACTGTTCCTGCGACGTCCGCACCAATACAGAGAATTTTTTCTCAAAGCGGCTTTATCATCCGCTCACATCGTTCAAAGTTATCAGCATCAACGTTATGCGTGTTAACATTCTTAAAATGCAATAACGATCTTCTGGAATAATGTTTCATTCTTGTGTGTTCAGATAAAGTAAAACTTATAAATAATAAACAGTAAAATAAAAAAACTAAGACTAGAACCCTAACTCTCCTTCAACTGATAGCCAGAAAGATATTGAAAATGGCTGTTGTTAGGCTGTTAAACCTTTTTTCATGAGTATTTTCGTCTTTTAAAAAGTTTCGTACTCGAGTATTTTCTGAAAAGTACTCGAGTACTTTAGAAAATACTCGTACTCGAGAATCTGCGTACTCGTCCATCTCGGTCGGACACTGTACATGACACAGCACTGTGTCGATCGTTCGTAATCAGCATTGTCGTTTTATACTATTTTATCAGAAGAGTAATTTCATAGTTAAAACGATTAATCACTTGAGACGTTCCCCCACGTGTACACACACCTGTAGATTAGTATACACATTTAAACACCTCTTCTATTGTTTTAGCTGACTCATTTATAGTGCATAATCTTAAATAACAAAATTTCTGGTGTAGTGTATACCGCGTTTTTGTTCTGTTCGCTATAAATCTCTTCAAGAAAAAACTTCCCTTTGAGCTTTTGAATTTATATTTTAAATTTTTCGAACAACTATTTCGTTTTATAGAGATTCATAGCGAACAGAACAAAAAAGCGGCAAGTACACTAGAAATTTTGTTATTTAAGATTACGCACTGTGAATGAGTCAGTGAAAATAATAGAAGAGATTTTTAAATGCGTATACTACCGTGCAGATGTATAATAAAGGGTAACAATCGTGATGGTAAAAACACCACTAGGAATGTTAGTAAGGGTTACTGCACTTACTTGTCGAATGATTGTTTCTTTTGAAAAAACCCATAACGTGTTTCAGAACACATATATAGTATCGTTTTGCTTAACTATGATATATAATTCCAACAAGGGTATGTTAAAGTGAGTAAATTATCAATGAAAAATTCCAAGGCCTGTATGCGACGCCCTCGTTCTCTAGCATCATGAAAAGTCAAAATAAACTTGTATTATGACTAATTCTGAATCAATCAACATATAATGACTAACTTATGTTTATTTTAGATTTTTGCTTTGTTTTATCTAAAACGAGAAAACTATCATACTTTTGATAGTTCGTTCGATGTGAATGTTCTATACTCGAATATCCGTTTTTCAGTAGACTGAAATAATTTTGATCTTTCCTAAAAGCACAAAAGTCGCCGGGTTTCTTAATGGCACCCCCCTTTCCCCCGACCAAAAACACTACTTAGGTCGAAGTTGAGTTTGACACATTCTTATGTAGTCCAAACTGTGCTCTTCAATTTAAGATCTAAACGAATTCAAACGGATATTGCGTCAAGAAGTTATGAATCTTCTACGAAGGGATCCGTATGGATGTAGACCATAGTCCGTGTGGATGTAGACCATAGTCTACGGGTAGATGACTAGATCACTATTATTCTCTTTTCTTTTTCTTTCTCTAACTTTGCTGAATACAAAATCGGATGCATTTCTATGTACAGAATAGAACAAAGGACGGAGGTCGATAAGAGGCAAAATCGATCCCCTCTCAGATCAAGCTCATATTCACAAGTCTGATGTAGTTTTTCGCCGTGATTAAAACTAGCACCTCAAAAAATCCATTTTCATATATAGTATCGTGTATGCTTAACTATGATATATAATTTGAACATTGCAGGGGCTACAAGATGATATATAGGATATACAGAACAAATGCGGCCTTGTTGCCCTAACGCTAGAAATACTGACCCCGACCTCCACAAATCGATACGTCAACAGCGTTCATCGCTTATATTGTCAAGCCAGTTTACCATTAACCACGCTAGTTTGTATATCATTCGATAGAGAATTTTACGGGCTACTAAATGATATATATAATATGGAGAAAAAATGGGGCTTGAATGTCCTTACACTAGAAATACTACTGGAGAGGAATGTTTTCGGCATCGATGGATAGGCGAAGTCCATATAAAACCGTTTACCATCTACATCAGCCGTTCACGTCAGTGACCAGACCCAGCTCATATTCTAGAGCTGAGCAAGCTAAACCGGATGGTGAAAACCGCAAGTCTCCAGCCTTGTTAGAAAATAGCCGCTTTACCGGCGCAGCAGAAAAATGCATTTTCATCATTTCCGGCGGATTTGGCCTAACTCGTACAACGTCTGTTGACTACATTCCCAAACATGGAACCTTAAGGTTGACGTCAAATGAAAGAGCGCATCGAGTCCTATATATTTCGACGGAGAAAAGTTATGCTACATGTCGCAGTCTTGAGACAGATTTTTGAAAAATCCGGTTTTCTAGAAAACCGAGATAACTTAAAGTTTCTTTCAGGTGCTTTTCAACCATATCATTAGATAGCCCCTTCAATTCCCCATAACATAAGATGCCGGCTTGGTTTCTGCGATCGTGGTCAACCGAGTCACAGGCTTTTTAACATTATGAATATAGATTGACTTGTGTTAAAGCCGTTTTGGAACTGGATCGTATTTTCAATGCCACTGTGTGATACAACATCGTTAAACGCTGGCCAGTTTCTTATGTTATGGAGAATTGAAGAGTCTATGATGATGATATGGTTGAAAGGCATCTGAAAGAAACTTTAAGTTCACTCGGTTTTCTAGAAAAACCGGGTTTCAATCTATATCTCAAGACTGCGACATGTAGCATAACTTTTCTCCGTTGAAATATATAGAACTCGATGCGCTCTTTCATTTCACATCAACTTCAAGGTTCCATGTTTGGGAATGTAGTTAACAGACGACAAGATATATCCTACGATGAAATTATTCTTTTCTCCATTTCTTGCTTTATATGGCATAGAAAGAAAAATACGAATATATGGATGATCTAGTAGCTCTATCCCAAGCATGAAAAATGTATCGGATATCACCCGATGCAGCTAGATATACTAGATAGAAAACGCGATACATCTAGATGCGTAAAAAAGAGAAAAAGTTGAATCGGGTTATCGGCCGATACATCTAGATACAGCCGATTCTTTTCTAGATGTATCTAGTTATGTATCTAGTATCGATTTTAACCCGATTCATCGGGCAATATATCGGAAGATGAATCTAGTTGTATATCGGCTGCAGATGAGACACGCGTGAAATCGCCCGATAAAGCTGCCGATACATCGTACAATGTATTGGGCGATG